TGCCCAGGATCCCGTCGAAGGAGGCCGCCACGAAGGTCAGAGACGGTTCCTTCACGGCCTCCGCGAAGCCCTGGTCCCGCGCGACTAAACCGCCCATCTGGAGGAGGAGGCAGAGCGGGACGGGGTGGGGTGAGCTGGATGAGGTAGGGGGTGGGGGGTGTTAGGGTGAGATAGGATGATCTGGGTTTTGTTCTTAGATTAATGGAAGATCCTTTAAGTAAAAGAAGAGTTAGAGTCTGTTTTTGGTGAGACTAAAACATGGGGTTTTTGTTCAACGGCTGTAACCGTAAAACGAATCGATAATTTTACCACGTTTTGAGATATTGGTACAACCATGGTAAATCAGTATGGTTTATATCCTAGTAAGATAAACAAATAAACAAATAAAAAAGACTCATAGAACGCTATAGAGAAATCTCGCTTACGTCCACGCTGTCCAAGGACACGTAGCCCTCTAGCGAACCTGTCCCGTAGTGTAGCACAAAGTCGCTACCGTTCGCTACGTACGTCGAGGAAGCGCCGTGGTCATACTGGTTGTGGAATTCTGGAAGTTGGATCTGTTTGCTTCAACACTTGTCAATATTTTGTTTTGATTTTAAAAGCAGGCAATGTCACATCTTTTGATTAAAATATGTTTTAGTTTGTTTTGTTTTTTTCCTCTGATGTTTAGATATGTTATTATATCATGGCAATATTATGGCAGTGGCATTGCGTTGTCAGGACGTATAACAGCATATGAATCTCTCTGATTTTTGTCGTTTTCCTCTCAATTTCTGTGCGACGTTAGACGAATCCATAAACCAGAAAAAGAATACGCAAAAACAAGCCCACACCTTATAACAACAACAACAAAAAAAATAAAACACAAAGTTCCATAGATTCATTTTAAACAAACATCACGAACTTACGGCATGCAATATTGAGGGCAGAACAGTCCTTGGAAGGCACCCACAGGTTAGAAGACCCGGTATCGAAAACCACTTTGAAATACTGCAAGGGCGTGCCCACTCCGATCCAGCCGTAGTACTGTGCCTGTGGACGAAGAGGATGGCGTTTTGCGTTTGAAAGAAATACATGAAGATTTAAATTACTTGTGGAGAATATTTTCACTGGTATGGATAGGTTATGTCAAGAGATGGATATGCAAATGCGTCGATAGATATCTGTCAAAGGTCGTTATTCTAAAATTATAATCGTCTTGCTGCTACTATTATCATTACTAGATATATCAGTAAGAATAGTAAAACTGATAACTATTTCCTGTTTAGGGAACACTTAAAAAAATATATCTTTCGCCACCAAACCGAAAATGACCAACTCCATTTAGTCATCAGATAAAAAAAAAAAAAAAAAAAAAAAAAAAATCCAGCATCTCCATCATCACCACCATCACCTTCATCATCACCATCATGACTATCACTATCACCATCATCATCACCACCATCATCATCACCATCATCCTCACCACCATCATCATCACCATTATCACCATCATCCTCACCACCATCATCTACACCATCATCATCACCATCAACATTATCATCATCTACACCATCACCATCATCATTACACCATCATCATCACCATCATTACATCATCATCATCCCAATCACCATCATCACCATCATCATCACCATCACCACCATCATCACCATCACCACCATCATCCCCATCACCATCATCGTCACCATCACCATCATCTATCAATCTTATCTATCAATTTCATCTCTTGCATTCACCCCGACAAAAAAAATAAATAAAAAAATCCATTCAGCACCAAAACGCCTCCAAGCTTACATCCACGTAATTCTCGATATCCAAAAGGGCGTTCTGAGGGTCGATCCTGCGGGCGTGGGCGGCGTGGGCGGTCCTGAGGGCGGAGAGAGAGCGCGGCGTCCCGGTCCGGTGGAGAGGTATCCTGAAAATATATTTATTATTTTTATTGTTGTTGGTGGTGGTATTGGTGTTCTTGTTAATATTGTTGTTGTTATTGTTGTTATAATTATGATTATTATTATCATGATTATTATTATTATTATTATCATTATCATAATTATTACTAATACTATTACTACCATTATCATTATCATCATAGTTATTATTATTATATTATTACTATTACTGTCATTGTTATTATTACTTTTACTGTTATTGTTATTATTGCTATTATTATCATCATTGCTATTACTATCATTATCATTATTATTAATATTATTATTATTGTTATCATTATTATCATCATTATTACCAATATCATAATCATCATCCTTATCATTATTACTGTCCTCTGTCCTTATTTCTATTCCTATATACATCATGTTATGTCTTGGCCGGACTTTGTAGTAGTTTGGGTATTACAGCCACTCATTTCTGAGCTAACTGCAAGAGCGTAGAGATGTCACTGGCCACAGGATTTAATGTATCTGGTAGGAAGAGTGATCCAGTGTGGGAACATTTTAACAGAGTTCCTTCAAAGTCTGGGGAAGGATGGAGGGCTAGA